TCTCTCTCTCTCTCTCTCTCTCTCTCTCTCTCTCTCTCTCTCTCTTCCATAACATCAACTTTTAGACTTCTCATTTTCTCTGCCTATCTTTTCTTGTTTGTGTGTTTGCAGTGCTGAACATTGAACCCAGGGTCTTGCACATGGCAAGTGAGTCTTGCTTCTTTTTAGTCTTCAAATCATAAAGCCATATATTACCATTCACTCATGTTAAGTCTCTAGGATAGTCTCTGTTGACCTAGAATTATTGGGAAGATGATTGCAGTTCATGAGTGATTCTAGGTGAAGGGAGTATGTTATATCAAAATCACTGATCATCGGATCCTCAGGGTTACACAGTCCAACTTGTAGCCCAGTTATCAACCCCATTCCACCCTTCTCCTAATCAACTGGAAAGTACACGGCCTTGCTGACTGACAGTCAACTTCTGTTTAGTTGCTCAGTCAGCCCTCATGCCAAGAAGCAGGAAATCAGGGCCAAAGACAGGGACTCCCAGGTCTTTGCTGTTTTGCCAAATGGATTCTAACTGGATCAATTTGCTGGATCAATTTGATTTACCTGGGGTTTGCTGCCTTTGGCTGGGCAGCCAACAATCTTCTCACAGCTCTATTCTCAAGGGCTTTATGTTTATGAGGCTATGGAAATAGCTGAGGATATGCTTTTAAGAAAGGGAGGGAGAGACCTCTTAATCATTGCTCATCATTTCCTCTTCTTTCCATGTCTCTCTTAAAACTGTTGCCACTGTGTCTAGCTTGGGACGTTTATATGCTGAAAGAGAGTCTCTGCCAGGTCTGGGAAGGAAAAGCCTGGCTAAGGAGGAAAAAAAAATGCTGCAGTAGTCTACAAAGTTTGCTTTATCTTCTCCATCTTAACTTGGGAGGAAAGTTGAAATCAGGCTTTTTCTTCAGACATTCTCCTATAATCAAAACTAGTAGCAGGGCGACCCTCAGAAAGCTGTTCTCCAGCGTCCTCTGCAGAGCCTCCTTGAGTACAGCCAGGATTTAATTTATTGTAGGCTCCTGGGAGCTCAGGGCAGGTGTGTGCAGGGCTGGCTAGACACAGTGGTGTAGCTTCCTCCTAAGGCGATTTCTCTGTAGAATCAAGGACATGGCCAGTATTAATAGGGGACATATACTCTGAAACAAAATCTATCCCAATGACTCTCAAATGTGAGTAACGACTTGTCAAATCTGTTCACAACTTTGGAATTTCTGATTTCTTAAACGTTTGGAAAAATGAAAACAAGTTCGCAGCCCTGGACGCTAGGGGGCGCTATTCAGAAAGTAAGGCTCTCCAGCGAGCCTCCTGCTCTTGCCTGGAATCCTTTAAATGTCGGGAGGCAAAGGAACAAAGAGACAGCCTCAATTATTGCTTTTCTTTTTTTTTTTTTTTTCCTTTTCCTTTCTCCCAAAGAGCTTGTAGCATTTTCTGAATCTTGCCTTGAATCTGCTTTCCTCATCACCTGGATGAAACAAAAATAGAAAGAAAGAAAGAAAGAAAAAAAAAAAAGACTGGAAACAAACGTGATATTCTTTCAAGGTCTTTGTATTCCTGACTTGCATATTATGCATAATAATTTCTTTTGAAATCCTAAGTTTGATTTTCTCCATACTTTGAGCATAATTAGGAAGCCACATATGAACATCAAACCTAATAAGCATGATTCTGTGTTCCTTTTCTGGAATTATTCATGTCAAAATGCATTCAACTAAACACTGAACAACTTTTGGTGACAAGGCACTGTTTGTTCAACAAAGGGGGCTTCAGAGATAATATCACTGTGCCATAAAGCGTATAAAACTTTCTTTTACCTTCACTTTCTGCCTAGAATCGGACCCTAAGTTATCACCTTATGAAATAGTTGCCCTTACATCTGAGTTCCAAAGTGATTGTGCACCCTCTATTGAATGCTAGCATGTTACGCTTTTACATTTAAAGCATCTATGGCTAAGTTTTTTGGTTTTATTATATTACAGACTTTGAACGTGGGAAAAACTCACTAGACCAAAATAGGTTGTCCTGTTTTTGCTAAAATTGCAGGTATCTGTTTCAGGCATATGCCTGCCCCTTATGAAGGGGAAAGTAGTTGTACATTCCTGCTGGAAACAAGATCCCACACATCCTAGTGTTTTGAAAAGAAATATGCTAACATTGTCCATGTATGAGAAACCAACTTTTGGTCATTTTTATTTTATCATCCTGCTTCAGAATCTGAATTGTATTATTAAAAGTAAACTGGATTAACATTAAACAGGGATGAGAGGTGGGAGGGAAAGGGAGAGAGAAGGGAAATTGCATGGAAATGGAAGGAGACCCTCAGAGTTATACAAAAGTACATACAAGAGGAAGTGAGGGGAAAGGGAAAAATAATACAAGGGGGACAAATGAATGTCAGTAGAGGGGGCAGAGAGAGAAGAGGGGAGGGGAGGGGAGGGGAGGGGGGATAGTAGAGGATAGGAAAGGCAGCAGAACACAACAGACACTAGTATGGCAATATGTAAATCAATGGATGTGTAACTGATGTAATTCTGCAATTTGTATATGGGGTAAAAATGGGAGCTCATAACCCACTTGAATCAAAGTGTGAAATATGATATATCAAGAACTATGTAATGTTTTGAACAGCCAACAATAAAAAATTAAAAAAAAAAAAAGTAAACTGGGCCAGGTGTGGTGGCTCATGCCTGTCATCCAGCAACTCTGGAGGCTGAGGCAGAAGGATCAAAAGTCTGAGAGCAGTTTCAGCAATTTAGCAAGACCCTATCTTAAAACAAAAAGGATTCAGGATGTAGCTCTGTGGTTAAGCACCCTGGATTCAATCCCCAGGACCAAAAAGAAGTAAATTGAGCACTAGTTCAGTGAGCATAGATATTATGGGGAGTTAACTTTAAAAGCCCCTTTGGAGAAGGAAAATATCAAAGTTGGGAAGCTTTGGGGACTACTATCCCCAAACATAAAAAGAGGACAATGTTGAGAGGAGAGATATCTGTTAAAAAGACTCATAAGGGATGTTGACAATGCTCTGGCTCCTGATCTCAGCAGTGTTTTCAAGGACATTTGCATTATAATAGCTATTATATGGTATATTTATGCTTTGCATACTCTTTTGTATGTGCATTCTATTTCACAACATTATGGGTGTTTTCCCACAAAAATGAAAGGAAGGCCCCTTAAAATATAAACAATAACTTTAATTTCTTTATCAAAATTTTCCAGTTGAGATCTCCTAATAGCTAGACTACTGCTGTCCTTTACTTTTAAGCAGAGGCCTCAGAGAACACTGGATTGACATCTCTGCCTCTTCAAGTTAGCATCCTGCCTGGGCTGCTGGGTGGGAAACACTCCTTTCATTAGTAGATATAAAAAAGTACTGAGGCTTGGTTTAATTTTTTTTTATCAAGATTGAGACAACAACTTGTATGCCGTGTGCAATTTTGTTAGTTAGCTTTCCTTTACTATCACAACTACCTGAGATCATCAACTTACAAGGAGAGAAGGTCTGTCTCATAGTTTTAGAGGTTTCAGTCCATGAGCAGTTGGCCTTGTTGCTTTGGGCCTGTGGCAGCATATCACAACAGGAGTGTGTGGCCGAGCAAAACCATTGAAAGTGAGAGAAAGAGGAAGAGATCAGGGTTCTCACTGTGAGGCCAACCCCCCAGTGCCCTGAAGAGCTCCAACAAGGCTCCAACTCTTAAAGGTTTTATCATCTCTGAGTAGTGCCAAGCCAGGGACCAATCCTTTAACACATGAGTCTTTGGGGAACATTCCAGATCCAAACTATAGCAGTAAGCATAATAGAAAACCAGGGAGAATAATCTGTGTGGCTTTTCCTATTTCCTGCCCACTCTTTCCTGCTTCTGCTCTACATTCTAGATACTGAAATACTGCAGAGATTGAAGATGTGAAGTGGCATCATGAGGCCCAGGTTTACAGGTTCCTGCAGCTCCCTCCCAGTGGCCCCTTCTGCTGGTACAAGCTACATCTGGTGGTAGACATGCCAGAGCCTGAAGAGCACTCTCATTCCAAGGCTCTTGGTGACAACTGGGTAAATGGGGACAGCTATTCAATATGGATGCTCTCTTTCTTCCCCTCCCATGCCAGCCCAACCATGCTTGTGCCTGCAGAGATGAGCCATTTCCGATTGATGAAGTTTTCTTTGCAATCCTTCCTATTCAGCAACAATTTTCAGGAGATTTTATGAATGAAAATTCAATATGGCACCATCACTACCATCTAACCCTGCAGCTGTGACTTTTCAATCTGAATGATGTAGGCAGAAAAACACTAACAGGAAAGATGTTACACCAAGGTTTCATGGCGTATTTTCCTGTTTGAAGAATATTCTACTTGCTCCTAGTAAGCTAAAGTAGTATTCAAAATGCTCAGGTGAGGGAGGAGAAGAAGTTTCAAAAAGAACTTGGAAAATTCATCTCTGTCTTTGAATCATGAATTCTGACTTCCAAATAGTAGTTTGGTGGGGGCGGAGGATGGGCAGGATAAAGGAGTTAGGAACTTGGGAGAAACTAGAAGGAATACATATAAGTAGCACCAGAGGGAATGTTCTCTGAACTTCCAAGTCTGGTTTCACTTTGAATCTAGAGTTGAGTTTTACCTCTGTTGCCTTGTGTCCAAGGACTCTCAGGTTTTTCCCTTGGAATTTGATTTGCAGTGAAAATCAATAGTAATATCTCTCTTGACTTCCATTGTCTCCCCTTCTTATTTAGGGTAGGGGTGACAAGATGACACTGTATCTTATAAT